TATAAAAAATCTTTGATTAAAAAATTTAAATCAAAAACTTAAACGTACATTAGAAGACTTTCAGCCCTGTTCAGGATATCTTCCTTAACTTTACATAATGCAGAAAGGAGAGAAAGTCTCTACTTCCAATAATGCTTTGGCATCAATCTGAAGGTCAGTTTTCTCAGTCCTACTCGGGGGCCAATAGAAAATACAATTTCAGAGAGAACCTGGCATATATCTTACTTATTAAAAAAAAAAAGAACAAATATCATAACAGCTAATATAATCTTTAGACATCCAATCAAAAACTGAAGCAACATATCTTTCATCTATTAAATTCAGTGTTAATTACCAGAGTTAAATTTAGCTAAAAGAACTAGTGAAACACATAGCTTACAATTTCATTTCTTAAAAAAGTAGAGGTCTACTTTAGCCCTAATTATGACCGACTAGGCGGAACTAAGTACCAAAGTAGCATATAATCCCTGATTTAAAAAGAAAATTCACAGAAAAATAAGATGTTTTCATATCTCATTCTTTCCCCTTATATGGCAGGAAGGAGATAAACTAAGAAAGAATTTGGTCAATACATATACAGTAAGTCTTCTCTACATCCTCTCCAGTAAAGCCTAAACATGATCTGTAAAGAAAACCACAACATGATCTGTAAAGAAAACAGTTCAGGCCGGGCGTGGTGGCTCACACCTGTAATTCCAGCACTTCGGGAGGCCAAGACAGGCGGATCGCAAGGTCAGGAGATCGAGACCATCCTGGCCAACAAGGTGAAACCCTGTCTCTACTAAAAATACAAAAATTAGCCAGGCTGGTGGTGGGTGCCTGTAGTCCCAGCTACTCGGGAGGCTGAGGCAGGAGAATGGCGTGAACCCAGGAGGCGGAGCTTACAGTGAGCGGAGACTGCACCACTGCACTCCAGCCTGGGCAACAGAGTGAGAATTTGAAAAAAAAAAACAAAAAACCAAAAAACAGTTCAGAGGTTGAGTCTGACCAAATTAGAAGGGCTTGGGAAAATAGTGTTTTGATTAGTAAAGAGATAAGGAATCTGAACCGAGAAATGTAAACCAGGGGGCTCCAACCCCCAATATACCCCCAGGTCTGTAGCCTGGTACAAACTGAGTCACACAGCAGGAGGTGAGCGGCAGGGCAATGATCAAAGCTTCATCTGTATTTACGGCTGCTCCCCATCCCTCACATTACTGCCTGAGCTCTGCAGTGGCGGCATTAGATTCTCAAAGGAGAGAGAACCCTACTGTGAACTGCACATGTGAGGGATCTAGGCTGCATACTCCTTATGAGAATCTAAATGCCTGATGATCTGTCAGTGTCTCACATCATCCCCAGATGGGACCATCTAGTTGCAGGAAAATAACCTCAGGGCTCCCACTCATTCTACATTATGGTGAGTTCTAGAATTATTTCATTATGTGTAATAATAATAGAAATAAACAGCACAATAAATACAATGTGCTGGAATCATCCCTAAACCACTGGTGCTATAAAGTCCCTAGTGCAAAAAGGTTGGGGACTGCTGATGTAAACTATAACAAAGTTAAGATTCTGAAACTGAAAAGCACAATAACTGAAATAAACAATTCCCTGGGAAGTTTAACAGCAAATGGAGACGATGGAAGAGTCCATAAGTCAACAGAAATCAACAAATCTGGGCCGGGCACGGTGGCTCACGCCTGTAATCCCAGCACTTTGGGAGGCCATGGCGGGCAGATCACTTGAGGACAGGCATTTAAGACCAGCATGGCCAACATAGTGAAACCATGTCTCTACTAAAAAACCAAAAAATTAGCCAGGTGTGGTGGCACATGCCTGTAATCCCAGCTACTTGGGAGGCTGAGGCATGAGAATCACTTGAATGCTTGAACCTAGGAGGTGGAGGTTGCAGTGAGCCAAGATTGTGCCACTGCACTCCTGCTTGCATGACACAGTGAGACTCTGTTTTAAAACAAAAAACAAACAAACAAAAAAATTAACCAATTTGAAGAATAGTGGGAAAAAAAACATGGAAGGAAAAAGAATAGAGCCCTAGGCACCTACGAACACTATGCAGTGGTTTAATACATATGTAATAAGAATCCTAGAAGAAAAATAGAGTAAGATTGAGGCAGAAAAAAAATATTTAAAGAAAGAATATCCCCAAACTTCCCAAGTCTGATGAAAAACAGACTTGCAGATCCAAGAAGCTCAGTGAACCACAAGCAGGATAAAATGAACCACAACCAGGCACATTAAGGTCATACTACTGAAAAATCAAAGGTAAAGGAAAAATCTTGGAGGAAACCCAAAAAGATTGTCCTATATATAAATAATAGAAAACATTTTACTATTGATGGTTGCAAGGAAAACACATTTACTTAAACATTAAAAATCAGAATTTAGGCTGGGCATGGTGGCTTATGCCTGTAATACTAACACTTTCAGAGGCCGAGGTGGGCAGATTGCTTGAGGTCAGGAGTTTGAGACCAGCCTGGGCAACATGGTGAAACCCCATTTCTGTCAAAAATACAAAAAATTAGCCAGAAGTGGTGGCGTGAACCTGTGGTCCAGCTCCTTGGGAGGCTGAGGTGGGAAAACTGCTTGAGCCAGGAGGCTGCAATAAGCTGAAATCCACCCCAGCCTGAGTGATACGGTGAGACCCTGTCTCAAAAAAAAAAAAAAAGAAAGAAAGAAAGAAAAGAAACCCAACAAAAAATGAAACATCACAGACAGGGAAACAAGTATAAAAATAGCTGATTCTCATCAGAAACAACAGAGGCCAGAAGAGAGTGAAACTACATCTTTAAAGTGTTAAAAGAAAAAATAAGGGTGAAATAGACATTTTCAGTTAAAATTTGAGAGAATCTTGTCACCTATAACACAAGGAATGCTATAGGATTTACAGAAAGGAAAAAGAATGCCAGGAATGATAAATAAGTGAATAAACATAAAAGCCCATGATTTCTTTTCATAATTTACATAAATGACAAATAACTGTTAAAAAAAAACACTGTAAGTTAGAGTATATAATATCTGTAAAAGTAAAATATATGACAACAGGACAAAGGAATGGATGTGTAAATGAAGTCACACTGTTGTGACATTTGTGAAGCATGAAGTAAAACCCGGAAAGTATCAGAGTGACATAAGAAAGGGTAAAGTAGAAAGAAAGCAGGATATGTCGGGTGAGAAACGTGAAGCACGAGGGGGTAAAATGTTAACTTTGATGAGCTGAGGATGCACATTGTTAGATCTACAGCAACATCTTTTAAAAAAGATAATGAAAAGAGATATAGCTAAAAAGCCAATAGAGGCAATAAAATGAAACATGGAAATATTAACCCAAAATAAGGTAGGAAAGGAACATAGGAACAAAAGGAAAAAGGAAAAACAAAATGGAAAACAAATAGCAAGATGGTAGACTTAACCATGACCATATAAATGTAAGGAAACACTCCAATTAAAGGCAGCGATTATCAGACTGAATTTTAAAAAAGCAAGATCTGTATTGTCTGCATTTTAAATATATTTTATAAACCTCGCTAAGAAGTTACTAACCCATTTGCACTCTGTAGCCATCTGTAGCCATATATATACAGTTTAATTTAAATGACATAATTTTATTTCAGCAAGAAAAAATGTCATAGAATGGTACTTTTTCTTCCATGGGCAGTGGCTTTATACACTAGGTAAGTTTACTTTGTCGTCTGTGGGCTAGTATCTCTACATATGCACAAGAAGGTGGAATGGGAGAGGGGGCATTTTCCTGTGTTGACTCAGAACACGGTGTGCTACCATACTGTGATAGGAGGATGAGGGCAGGAAAGAGGAAGGTACCAACACCATGTAAGGATAAGATCAGCTGGAGGGCTACGGGAAGTCTCAGGAGAATACTCTAAATTTTACCATATTTCCAGCAAAAGTAAAGTAGACAGCAACCTATGCCTGGAATCTGTTTTTAGTCACTGGACCGTAAAAACTGAGAAAATATACATAAATTGGTTACTCCAAATCACCCCCACTGATAATAAAAAGAGAAAATGAAAGCCGAGAGCTGTGGTATAACTAGACTTCGGCACTTCAAGTAAGACTATAGTTCAGATCAGGAAAAGGCAATCTTTCTTGTAGAAGATACAGTTATGTCAACAATTGGAGAAACTGAAGAGAGGTTTCTCTACTCCATTTGCGCTTTACATAAATTCAGATGCAGTCAAGACTGGCCTTTCTCAGACTGAAAGGAAAAACTGGATAACTCAATGAAGAGGCTTAGGGACAGTAAGATAAGGCACAAGTCTTCAGCAGATCAACTGATTAGGTGAAAACTAAATGCCTTCTAAAGATCCTAAGCAAGCAAAAGTGCATATTTACTTTCAACTAAGGAAAGAAAATATAGAATATTGTTACTTTTTTAAAAGCTGCTGTCAAACTGCACTGACCTGTAACATGCAGTAACTTGCTGTTTGAACATCTCCAGTTCTATCAACATAACTCTCCATTAAGTCCACTCCATCTTTAGTAAGGCCTGTAAGCAAAATTCCTTCCAAATTTCCAGCCTCTTTCATTTCATTGGTCAATTTTTCGATGTATCTATTTAACTGGAAAAGTTAAAGTGATTTTTCTAAAGCAATCTGTTTCACTATGTATTTTGTACTTCAAAACTATTACATTTTGAACAATTTCATTCCTAATGGAAAACATTTTAAAACAAAAGACTTTACTATAAATATGTAACTAAGGAGTCTGCATCTATTACAAATTTCAAAGCAGTATCCATAATCTTTTAAAATATTTTAAAAAGGCATTTACTATGTTGATAATTAATCCATAAAAGAACTACAGATGGTTTATTATTTTAAAGAGAATTGTCCTCATTATTCTGCGAAGTTTTTGCTGTCTATCATAGTAGTATGTAACAGAATCACAAAATCTGAGTTGCAAGGGAACTTTAAGACCAAGAATAACCTCCTTTAGGTCTTCCCTGACTTCAACCCACCCCAAACTCTTGCCAAGATTCCTCCATATTCCCCCAGCATTTTTCATTACTATAGTACTCAGCACATAGTATTACTAGTTGTTTACATGCATTTCCCCCTCACTATATACACAATAGGCATTTAGCATTGTTTAATGTATTAAAAATGAGGAACCCTTTCACAGCATCACTAAGAGGTGAGTTTAACATCTTTACCTACTAACTAGTCTTACCCTCCAAAGAAGAAATATACTAAAATATTAAGTCAGTATTCTAAACAAATAAATTTAGTTATGGTAGACATTTTCAAAATATTTTGATCTAATATATTCTTACCATACAATTTTAGAAGAATTTACTTATCAATCTCATACATATATAATTATAAAGACTAACTTCTTACAATAATTATGACAGTATATATTAATTACTTCAAATGTGGAATTAAATCAGTTTTCACCTGAGTATCACTAAGGAATTTACAAGCAAATGCCACTCTGTCACGTACTGCAACTTTGTTTTCATACTGGAAAGAAGAGAAAAAGCAAGGAGTTACTTATAGGTGCAGTGAGTTTTAAATTTTTGCAGAGACTAAATGTTTTATATAAGTAAAATGAATACGTTTATTTCCAAATTTATTAGCAAGTTATATTTATCTTGCAGAGCCATTAATTGCCTGAGATGCCTTTCTTGATGTTAACTCTCCGGGAATTCAGCAATAAGGTTTTGTCCTTGCAAAGTAAAAATTTACCTTTTAAACACTGGCCAAATTCAGTTTTTAAAAATCCAGGTCAGTCTTATATAACTCCAATATAAAAGACAAGCAATGATGTACAGTCTATCAAATTTAAGATGCCACATAATCTTTCCATCATAGAAATTAATTTTAGAGAACTAAGGAAATCTTTCCTTGGCTACTAAGTTAATCAGTAAGTCTAAGAAATTTGTGAATTGGCTACACCAGTACACAATTTAGAAGAACACCAATATACGTTTCCAACTACAAAGTGACAAGTTTTAAAACATAAACAGACACACTCTTGTGGCTAAAGTTGTTATATAGGTGGTTTGTGGCAAAGATTTCAGAGGCATTATAACTAAAATTTTTGTAAACTTGTCAATATCATGAAACACTTTTGAAATATATTTACTACAAATGTAGGAAGGTACAATTAATTTTGTGATTTGTAAAAATAATTTAAGGGTGGAAAAAAGATCCAATTTCCATTGAAGTCATCCTATGAAAATTTTACTTTTTTAACCGTAAAATCACTTCAGTTGATATCTATCTTAGCATACTTGTTCTATGATAAAATATGGTTTTGCCCTAAAGAGAGAACATATTTCATATAACTAGATTTAACTCTTAGATTCAGTTGCATATGTTACAAAATTTTGATCTGGAAAGGATTATAAACATTATTCTGTCCCATTTTACATCTCAGGAAAGTAATACTCAAAAAAGTTAACTGAATGGCTAAGGTAAATGGGGCAGAGCAAAGAGTCAGGCCTGTATTTTCTGACTTCCCAATTCAGTACTTTTCACATTCTTACTATTAACATTTTCTTAATAGAGCAACATTAATTATTTTATATATAAAGCATAACTAAATACATAAATGAAACAGCTTGGAAATATGAACTTCTTATTCAAGATGACTGTTATCTAATAACTCAAATTTATGTATAAGAAAAGAAGGATACTGGGGCCGGGCGTGGTGGCTCAGACCTGGAATTCTAGCACTTTGGGAGGCCAAAGCAGGTGGATCATTCAAGATCAGGAGTTCGAGACCAGAATTGATATTTCTGGCCAACATGATGAAGCCCTGTCTCTACTAAAAATACAAAAATTAGCCAGCATGGTGGCACATGCCTGCAGTCTCAGCTACTTGGGAGGCTGAGGCACGAGAATCACTTAAACCCAGGAGGTGGAGGTTGCAGTGAGCTGACACTGCGCCACTGCACTCCAGTGTGGGTACAGAGCAAGACTCTGTCTCAACAACAACAACAACAACAACAACAACAAAAAGAAAAAAAAGGAAAAGAAAAGTACTTATTATGGGTCACTCAAAATACAGGAATTTAATATTTAAACAATATACATCTTTATCAATTCAAAAGTTAACAATCCACTCGTTTATCTAGTCTCTATCATTCTCTAACACTTCCTGAAAGTATTATTTTATCTCTTCAAGATACATTTAAAATCTTGTTTAACAAAAAAGATTACAGTTAAAAAATAAACAGTCTTAACATTATATATATTATTTTGAAGTAGTCAGAAAAGTTCAATAGTAATTTATTAAAAGTAATAAAATACATAAAGTGCAAAATACACATTTATTAAACATTTCATTAATCTGCTCAAATAAAATACTTATTTTTACAAATTCTTAGGGACTAATACTTAAATCACTTATCCAAGCAATGTATAATTGATAAGAAATGGTATAGTAGCAAACACAGAAATGAATTTCAGTGTAGAAAGCTCTTCCCATTGTTAGAAAGAAGCCAAGCAGCGCAAAGAAAGTTGTAGTACTATTGTTTAGCTTAAAACCCAACAGCTAAAACTGATAAGCAAATCTCACTTCATTCTTTCTTTCCCCATTCTGTGATAAAGAACCTATTTGATAGTGTTATGATCACAGGTGGCTAAAACAGAGGAGAAAAAGAATAACACAAAGACCAAATAAAAAGCTGAAATAGTCCACTGTAAGTACTGTTATCATTCCCAACAGGAACCACAAAGACTGAGACAAGATGTATGGCCACCTCCACCATAACTGATCAATAATCATGAGTTGTTTTACTTAACACACACACATGCACATGTGCATGTGTGCACAGTGTATTTAAACAGCGAATATATTTTTATGTTTACATAGCTGTAGATTTCTACAGCTCAGTTCTTAAGCTAAAGGATAAAATATTCCTTCTATATCTGTAAATTATATTATTAAAACCATAAAAATCAAATCCAGTTGGATATCAATTAACTAACTCCAGGATGGGAATCACACTCAAGAAGAGCTGCTCAAAAAACAAAGCCCAAGATGCCTTATTTTAAATAACGTATGCATCAAAATATAGTATTTTATGCAACAGACATTGAAAATTTTAAGTTAGATAAAAACTCCTATCTTAATCCAAAGGAAGATCTCAAAGAACAAGTTAGCTTACCAAAACTCCATCATAAGATCCTGTTTCACTTGTCAGAAATGCAAACATGACACACAAATAAGGGTTGTTTAGCTGTAATCGCAGTGTGCTACACATTTCTCTCCAAAGGGAGTTCTTCTCATCCGTATAACCCGATAAAGCCATTGCTACCACATTGAGATTCAGATCTCCTGCATATTAAAAACAGCCAGCTAATCAAAGTGATCAAAAGCTTACTATCTCTTCTACATTTCTTAAACCATAAATAGAAATCAGAGGGTGACTTTTACCCTCAGAAAAATGAGCTCATAGAATAAGGGTTTTGGGCTGCTCTGCCTATGGAGTAGCCATTCTTTTATTCCTTTACTTTCTTAATAAACTTGCACCTTACCCTAAAAAAACAGAACAAAACAAAACAAAAAGGTTTTCGGTTTTGATTCAGACTGGAAACTTTGGCAAAGACAATAAGCACAACATTTCTATCCTTATAAAACTCATGCCCACGTGTGCAAACTCTATGCAGGAAAGCAGATCTTTTAATTTTCAAGTTCTCATTCCAGGCAGGGTCTTATATATGTTATTCCTGTATATGTTCCCATATATGTATGCTATTGCTTGCTAAATGAAGAAAAGTTAAGTCATCCTACTAGAATCACTGTCAACTTTAACAAGTTTATTAATGCAAAAGTATTTCAAAAACACTTACAGTGAATATTATTGCATCTCAAGACTGCAATACTCAAAATCATTTTATTTTCCTATTCCTAAATATATAATGCAGATACTTACATATATAAGTGTCAATGCAAAGTGCAGAAAGTAATATTTCAACACTTCAATTACAGTATTACACTTACAATTTTTCCAGAACAAAATAAACTATAAGAATTACCACAGAACTGCATTAAGAGCCATTTGCAACAAAGCATTTGTTACCAATAGTCTTTTAAACATTTGTTCTTAGCAGTTTAGATGCATGCTGATAAGCTGCTAACTTTGCCTTCAGCAGTATGGCTGTTTAGTCTTCTAACCTAAGTTCAGTTTCAAAAGAGAAAACTAAATTTTCCTTTAACTTTCACTCTTAAGTATTTTCTACACTTATTATATAAGTTTTCTTATTCTATTTCTTGATTCTAATCTTTTTCTTTCTTTTCCAAATAAAGCAGTGTTTCCCACTTTATGTTCTTTACAGCTTTATATTCCTCATTTCTCTCATTTCTATAAACATTTTCCCAAGTTACTTTGTGCTTGCTTCCTTTGCCTAATATATTAGATTTAAGGTCTTTTAAATAAAAAATAAAAATAGCAAAGAAGTATCTTTAGATTTTGTATAGAACAATTTACTTCTAAATGGAAAGGAATGTTTGACTCACAGAAGTCTTCTCTTCAGTCTTTAAAATCACTGGAAAGATACAATTTCCCTATTGTTAGTATGGGTGTTTAAATCGACTAAGAAATTTCCCAGGTACACAAGATAAGGAAAGTTATCACCCTTTCAAGTTATAGCAAAATTATAATGAGAAATGGCTTTAAATATCAATTCTTTTTTCCATCATCACATATTTTCTACTGCCGTCTTAAATGAGGAGGACTTTTGTTAGAGCAAAGGTGAAAGAAAACATGCCAATCTGAGCAAAACATTAACTTTTTTAACTTTTAGACTGCAAAAAAATATATTACAGTGAATTTCATGTTTTTCTCTATGCTACAGCTGAACCATAAAGGTTTCAAAATGGACCAGCAAGTAAGGATTCAGTACTCTGAATATTCAGAAATGATTTTTTAGGTGTACTAAAGACCAATAGCTATATATATTTTAGTTATTTCCAACTGAAATATTCCTGATAAGAAAAAAAACCCTGAGCTTTTGGATTAGGATTTGTTTTTCTGAGGATCCTCTGACAAAATGCCAGAGTAAAAAAACCTTATCTTGTTTCTTTCTTTTTAAAAAATACTAAATGAAAACTATATTTTAATCGCCAGACTCAAGAAGCATTTTTGAAGATCAAAGTATGCTTTTTATAAGAATTTGCATTAGCCTAAATAAAAGTGTCATTCAGAGTTTCTTAAAGGTCAAACAATAACCATCCAAAAGAAAGTATAAACTAGAACACACTCAAATATGGATCATAAAAATACTTGTAGGCTAAAGAAGTCCTAATCTTTAAGAAGATATATTTTTAAAAATGTATGTGAACTATCTTTAAAAGAGAAAACATTGAAAATGGACACACTTGAGCACTCCTTATAACATTATACTGACATTTAAGACACATCTTTGTTTTTACAGACCTAAACCAAGGCAGAAGAGGTGAGTTAAGTATTTACTGTTACAGACTACTGTGCTAATTTTCTCTTCCAACAAAAATTAAATGAAAATTTTAAGCGATTAGATACTTGAAAATTATTAGCCTCTTTTCTTTAAAAGACTCTATGAACTGCTAACATCTTAGATTATAACTAATATCTCAGTTTATAACCTAATACCTTTTTCGGAAGACGCCCCTTCATTCAGGATTTGGATTGCTCGGCGAATATCCAAGTTGAACAATGCCACAGCAGCAGCTCTCTCCCATTCCCCTTCTTGTACAAGGGAGTTCAAAAATGGCCCCACGTCTACATCCGTTCCTTTCTTTATCCACCCACAAAGCTGTAAAGCTAAGATTCTCTCTTCATTTAAATTTTGAATATCACTTTGCTTATCCAATCCACTCCAATTATGTCTGCTGCTTTCCACCATTCCTAAAAACACAAAACATTTTTATATTGTTTTATTTCAAAATATATTTGGAAAATAAGTCAGTTTTACAGAGAACTATATTGACACATTTAGAATATTTAACTTCTCGGCTATAATTTTACGATAGTGTAAATACGAAATATGCCACAAATAAAACATATTTTGCATGTTTCTAAGTACAATAGCTCCTTGAGTTACCAAAGAACTACTGAAATAAGAGCAAATGCTCAGATGGACTAAACTGAGTTACTGCTTCAGAGAAAGCTGCCTGGCCACCTAATCTGACATAGATATACCTGTTATTATCTAACTCACCACCCATTGTTTCCTCTATTTCCTTTAGCACTTAACATGTGCTCCCATTTAGTTATTAATTTAGTTTTCAGTCTTAATCTCTTCTCCCACTAGCACATAAGCTCCAAAAGGGCAGGTGTCTTGTCTGTTTTATTCACAAGGTATCCCTACTGTCTGAAACCCAGTAAAAGTGCTCTTGCTTTCTTCCTTCTCTCTCTGTACATTAAAAAACAAGATTACAGACTTCAAAGTACTTTGAAAGTTTAAGGTAAGTAATAACTTTAAAACACAATGGGACTAACTCGAAGGCTATTTTTCCCCTTACTAAATCAGAAAACTTCATTTCTCATTCTTTTTTCAGAAAAAACCCTTGCCTTCTTGTAGCATTATTTACATTGCAATCAAGGCAGTTGATCCTAATGACAAGGTAATTTCACTTAGGATGATACTTAGTGCCAAATAAAGTCAAAATGAATAAAGATGACACTTAAAAACTATAATAACAAATTCTTAAATGTTCTAGAAAATTTTATCACCAAAATTGTCATTACATAATTATGTTTTTTAACAAAAAGGATTTTCAGAATAAACTAAATTATGAATTAGGCAACATGAATGTCCAACATTACCAACTTTTATTTTTTGTAGTAATTTACATTTTTAATTTACAGTAATTATACATTTATATATTTGTATCTAATACTGCAATTATACATTTGTACATAACTAGATCAACAACAGATAGTTGCTAGAATTCCTCATTAAACTTGTTGGTTGTAGGCAGAACTGTTAAGAAGGGCTGCATTCCTGCCCCCCCCACCCAACCACACTCTTGTGTAAACAAACCCCTCCCCTCGCATACAGGTAGAATCTGTAACTTGTCTCCAGATAACAGAATATAGCAGAGGTGAAAGCATTTTGCAGATACAATTAAGGCCCTTACTCAGCTCACTGAGTGAATCAAGGGACGATTATCCTGTGTGGGCCTGACCTGATTAATCAAGTAAGTCCTTTGAAAGACAGTCTAGAGGTAAGAGAGAAGCAGCAGGAGACAGATCTGCTGGTCTTGAAGACGTAAAAGCTGCTATGCTGTGAGAGGGTCTGTGAGAAGGCCATGTGGCAAGGAACTGCAAATAGCCTCTAAGGGGCTGAGAGCACCCCCTGGCCATTAGCCAGCAAGAAAATGGTTATCTCAGTCCTATAGATGCAAGGAACTGAATTCTGCCAACAACAACTCCATGAACTTGGAAGAGCACTCTGACTTCTAGAAAGAAATACAATTTGGCTGATACCTTCTGCTTAGCCTTTCTGAGACTCTGAACAGAGAACCCAGCTAAGGTGTGCCCAGACTCCTGACCCATGGAAATGATGAGATAGTAAATGAATGAAAATACACTATCCAAAGTTAATTTAACTATAGTCATTCTGGTCAAGAATTTAAAGGTATAAACAAACACAAGCAAAAATAAGAAAATATTAAAAACTTGTCATTTGCAAGTTAAATTACATATAGAAATTTTTCTTTTTTTTGACACAGAGTCTTGCTCTGTCACCCAGGCTGGAGTGCAATGGCGTGATCTCAGTTCACTGTAACCTCTTCCTCCCAGGTTCAAGTGATTCTCCTGCCTCAGCCTCCCAAGTAGCTGGGACAACAGGTGCACATCACCACGCCTGGCTAATTTTTGTATTTTTAGTAGAGACTGGGTTTCGCCATGTTATCCAGGCTGGTCTCAAACTCCCAACCTCAGGTGATCCGCCCACCTTGGCCTCCCAAAGTGCTGGGATTACAGGCATGAGCCACCGTGCCTGGCCTATTTTTACTCTTTCCAAGTATTCAGACTAAATGATTTTTAAGAAAAATTTTAGGCTGGGCGCCGTGGCTCATGCCTATAATCCCAGCACTTTGGGAACTTGAGGCAGGCAGATCACTTGAGGTCGGGAGCTCGAGACCAGCCTCACCAACATAGTGAAACCTGGTCTCTACTATAAATACAAAAATTAGCCGGGTGTGGTGGTATGCACCTGTAGTCCCAGCTACTTGGGAGGCTGTGGCAGGAGAATCGCTTGAACCCGGGAGGCCGAGGTTGCAGTGAGCCAAGATCGCACCAGCCTGCGTGACAGAGTAAGACTCTGTCTCTTTAAAAAAAAAAAAAAAAAAGGTAAAACAGTATATAGTCAAAGGTCTAAACTCTCTTTTATACCTAATTCATACTTTTAAAAACCTTGTGTGATTATCTGATTTTAGGTTGTGGCAAGTCTAAAATATTATGCATGTTAGTAAACATTTTATATTATAACCAACTGCTTTATGAAAAAGTTTCAAGATGTGTTCTTTGTAAAATTTTGGAACTTTAAAAAATACTTAAATAATTCCACTTGAAGTTACTTATTTTTAACCTGACTACTGGAAACTATTGCCAATTCAGGTCAAAGAGTTAAGAGGAAACTTTCAAAAAGTTCTCTTACTTTAACAGCACTTCCTACCCACTAAAAAGAAGCAGCATGCTACTTTATTTGCGACCATGAGGGGAGTCAGCCTAAAGACAAAATCACTTTTAGCTTATGAAAGCGGATTTTTAAGAACTATAATGTGAAAACTTCTAACGATTAATGATAAAATTAATAAAACACATTTAAAAAATTAAAACATTCATTCTGAATAACAAATTTAAATTGTCAGGGCAGAATGCAGTCATTTAATTTCAGGTAGAGGCTGAGATGTATTATAAGGTGTTTATTTTCATATCTCTCCTATAAATTTTGGATTTAAAGCTGGTATTTAGTGATATTTAAAGCTGGTATTTAGTAAAATTTAGTGACAATTTTAAAACGGGTGAACAAAAATCAGCAATTTATTTTTCAAACGATTACCTACAGCTTAACATAATATTCTAATTTCTTAAGAGTTTTTATTTTATAGAAATCAAGTCATGGAACAGAATAGAGAACAATACAGTCACAAGTTGATTAACAGTAGGGACACCTTCTGAGAAATGCATTCAGGCAATTTCGTTGTTGTGTGAACATCACAGTGTACTTACACAAACCTAGATGGTATAGCCTACTACACACCTGGGCTACATGGGCCTACTGCTCCTAGGCTATAAAGCAAACTTGTCTAACTCATAGTCCAGGACAGCTTTGAATGCGACCCAACACAAATTTGTAAACTTTCTTAAAACATTATGGGATTTTGGGGGGATTTTTAAAAAACTTTTTTATTTTTTAGCTCATCAGCTATCGTTAGTGTATTTTATGTGTGGCCCAAGACAATTCTTCCAATGTGGCCCAGGGAGGACAAGATTGGATGCCTCTGCTTTACAGCAAGTTACTGTACTGAATACTGTAGGCAACTGTAACACAATGGTAAGTATTTGAGTACCTAAACACAGAAAAGGTAAAGTTAAAATACAGTATTAAATCTTTTGGGGCCACCATCATATATGCAGTTGATTGTTAACAGAAACGTCATTATGCAGTGGATGACTGAATATGAATTCAAAGAGGTCACTGCTAGGAGGTGGAAAAATTAATATATCCCGCATGTTAAGAACACGGTTACTGTATCATGTATTTTTTCTGCTTAGAGACCTTTTTATTGATAACTATGCTACAGTTGATTATTAGAATTATCAAATAAGCAATATGATGTCAGCATGGGTTTTGACTTACGAGTTTAACATATACATACATTTTTAATATATCTCTAAAAACAAAGTAAAATATATTTATGCATGTTATGTAACACTAAAATAACAAAATTGTATTTCCTAAATTTGAGACTGTCCTATATATAAATAATAGAAAACGTTTTATTGATGGCTGCAAGGAAAACAAGTTTATTTAAACATTAAAAATCAGGATTTTGGCCAGGCACGATTGCTCACGCCTGTAATCCCAGCACTTTGGGAGCCCGAGGCAGGCAGATCACTTGAGGTTAGGAGTTTGAGACCAGCCTGGCCAATGTGGCAAAACCCTGTGTCTACAAAAAATACAAAAATTAGCCAGGTGTAATGGCATGCACCTGTAATCCCAGCTACTCAGGAGGCTGAGGCACGATAATCACTTGAACCCAGGAGATGGAAGTTGCAGTGAGCTGAGATTGTGTCACTGCACTCCAGCCTGGGTGACAGAGACTCTGTCTCCAAAAAAAAAAAAAGAAAAAAAATTAGGATTTAACATTTCTTTCAAATCAGCAATCAAACACTATGCTCTTTGTAGCTACTGTTTCATTTTAATCTAAGCAATACAATTATCCAGTTTATAAGAAATGCTAGCTATTTTGCCCCTGTAGTCATTTTGCATAGACAAATTCTCAGTTCTCTAGATCAGATTTTCGTTTTTTTTTTTTTTTTTTTTTTACAAAAAAAGACAGACAGGGTCTCTATGTAGCCCAGACTGGTTTCAAACTCCTGGGCTCAAGCGATCCTCGTATCTCAGCCTCCTGAGTAGCTGGAACTGTAGAGTTTACTCTTTAAGCATAAAAAGTATTATTTTCATGATGGATGAAAAGCAGGCCAATATTTTTTATACAACTTTCTGCCATCTTAAAAGGAAGGAATTATACCTACTAATAACACTGTGAACTTGCTATACAGGTCTGTAGAAGAGATTCCCTCAGAGCATGCATTCTTCTCATCCTGGTTGATTTCAACACTTAGCCCATTCAATCAACTAGCCTCTCAGTTCCTTTGCTTTCTTATCTCCAGTGGTCTACACCTCTAAGACTTAAGCTACTCCTTTCACAGCCATACTCGAAACTGTCCTCCTCCAAAAGACCTACTTTCTGACCACAACCATGTAGCCTTCCAAAAATCTCACTTCCTTGTATTCTTCACAACCTCACAGTATCTTCACCACCATTATTTTTACTTATCAGTCTTACCCTGTATTCATTTTCACCTCTATCCAAATAAGATCCTAAGGGTCAAGTGAATCACTCTCTTGCCAATATATTTAATTTATCTCACCCTACTGTCCTTTATTCTACCTTCTGGTAAAACAATGTTACCCAGTAATCCTCCCATGTTTCTCAAGACAGCTCTCTCTCCTCTTCTCCATATCCTCTTCCTACAACCTCCCTGCTCCTTCTCAGCAGGAGCCATAAAATGGGAAATCCCTCAGCCTCTAGTTATTGAACCTTAAACATCCTGCATACGGCATCCTTTTCCCCTTTCCTCTGGCAAATGTGGAGGTGTGCACCCTTGTATCTAAAGAAACTGTGCTCTGGATCCCATTCCCTCCCATTTCTAGGAACTTTGCTTCATTCCCTTCTCTCTGCATCTTTAACCTCTTTCTATGGGCTTCCTCCAATTAGCATTTAAACATGCTTAAATTAATCCCATGTTGAAAACAAAAAGAAAGCAACACAAAGCTCCCGGCTCCAGATTTGTCTCCTCCTACTGAATATCTTTTTGTCCTCCTTTATATAGTCAAATTCCTTGAAAAAAAGTATTTATAATTGATGACTTCATTTCCTCAACCCACTCTGAATTTCTAATCTAACTGCAATTTGCTATCCATACCACCCATGAAAGATCTTCTCCTAGTCCTAAATTCAGTGAGTCCTTTTTAGTTCTTATTTGGCTGGATCTGAAGCATGGAGCACTGGACAACTGACTTCTCTTCCCTCGTCCACATGAATATATATTAAGTTGGTGCAAAAGTGATTGCGGTTTTTGCCATATAGATCTTTCTCCTACAACTCTCAACAATCCTCCTCAGTCTCCTTAAGCCACCTCTTTCTTACTCCAAACAATTCCATCTACTCTACCAAATATAATTTATTTCTAACATATATTATATTCCTCCCCTGTGCTCTGATCTCATATCCTATTGCCCAATGGACATCTCTACCTAAGCATCTTGATTTCAACTTGCTCCAAAATAAACCAATACTCTTCCTGTGTGTTCCTAATTAACATACTTAAAATTAACTAGTTTCCCAAACTAAATATATGTGCGCTATCTTTGACTTTTCCATCTTCTCCACCCCTTTATCTAATTAATCATTAAATTTTGTCCTATTCTCTAATGTATCCACATTTCTCTAGCACCTCTGCTACTAACCTTCGTAAGGATACCATCACGTCTTGCCTCCTTGCAGCAGGCTTCTATCTGATATCCCTACTATCAATCTTGATCCTTTAAAAACACAAATCTGTCATAAATCCATCTGTTTCCCTGTCTTACAAGATGAATCTCCCTAAATTCTTAACATGATTTCTAAGTCCTTCTTGAGTTAGCCCTATGCTTACCTTTCTAGCCTCTATTCTTTCCTCACTTCCTCTCTCATGCTCTGTTCCAGCCATAATAATGTGCTATGCTTTCTACCCTCTGGGTCCACTGCACATGCTGCTCCCTGTCTGGACCTTGTCTTTGACTGTACCTCCTCTGAGAAACCTCTAATCCCTACAACCAGATTAGGAGTCCTTCCTGTAATTAACTGTTCTTCCCTATGTTAGAACTGCCAGTTTACTTGTCTGTATTCTAAACTAGAATGTAAATTCCCCAAGAGCAGGGATGCTCATTCTCCATGAGGGAAGAGATTTATGTATCTTCTTGACAGTTATGTCTCTAGTTCCTAGGATAACTTCTGGCATATAGTAAGCATGTAATAAATACTTGCTGAATGAATGAGCTTACTTCATATTGTAGTTGTAAAAATTAAAGTAACATGGGAAAAGCAACTAATTCATAGCAAGCACTTATATATATACTATTTGTTACCAAAATCAAAATTTAGCTGTGTGCTCTAATAAACTTGTATATTAGGTTACTGTGGACAAGATGGCTCAATGTGTTGACTTACTGTGTGTTGAAATTATTAGAGAGACAATTAGAGGAAAAGGTATGGCCAAATAGAAGACTGAAATCTAAGAGTGGCATATTTGACACTATTTCTTTACTTTTCACCTTTGGGTAGTAAAAACAAAAATAACTATACCAAACAAAATAAAAAGCTGAAAACCTAGCAATGAGAGAATGAAGAATGAGGAAATCTTTCCAACAGTAGTCTTTCTTTAGTCTGGATAAAGACTATTTTGACACAGGGGTGGGATACTCACTTTGTCTCTAGTGCACCAGAAATGTAAACATACTACATTTTCCCCTTTGGCTTTTCTTCAGAGGTTGGCTTTTCCTTAAAATATATCAAAATACAAAAAACACAATAACCAACCTCTAAATAATTGAGTGCAGTGTGGCCTAATCTACTATAAAACTAACACACTATAAAATCTATAAACGTGGTGTTTAATTCTTTGTAGCAATAGGCAATGGCTCTAAAATCATGAACTATGGTACCAGGTTCATTTGCGGGGGTAAAACAGTATGTGTGCCCGTTTACCTACGTTAATAAAAACAGCAGCTTCTAACCAAACTTATTCATTTTACTATTTATAATAAAGGTTACCTTTTTGGGTGGAGGGCTAATACAAAAACAATAAAATCAATCTGATCAGTAAGTAGTTTACTGCATCTTTCAGTAAAGTGAACCAAAGTAATTTGAAAGACCTTAAAAAAAGCACTGTAATGTAACAGTTTAATTAAAACACTTAACCTACTCTAAAACATTTTATTATTTTGTATTTTGTTTGTATGGTATTGATACAAGTTCTGTAAAAAATAAAATTGGATTTACTACTTCTATTACTGCTCTTTGACTAAATAATGTTAACTAATTTTCTAACACCTTGACTTGGGCCCAGATTTGACTTAGCAAAAGCTAGAGAACGAATCCTAGGTCACAGAGATACAGGTTGAGCGTCCCAAATCTGAAAACTGAAATCCAAAAGCCTTCAAAATCTGAAACTTTCTGAGTGCTGAGATGATATTCAAAGGAAATGCTCATCGGAGCATTTTGGATTTCAGAATAGGGATGGTCAATCTCTAAGTATACAATGCAAATATTTCGAAATCTGAAAATATCTGAAACATTTCTGGTCCCCAAGCCACTTTGGAAAAGGTATACTCAACCTGCAATTCTAATATAACCCATTATTCAATTCCAGTAAAAGAATAGGAACAACTGTTTAAAGCAGTCAGAAAAAAAAAGAAAGTTTGGTTTTTGCCACTTTTACGTTATTCCTTAATAGTTTAACATACCAATTTCAATCCTACATTAACTCACACATTAATTAATTCATTCACTAATTCACCAAGGACTATTTCAGGTATAATTCCTTCAAGTTAGGCCATATTTCATATCATACTCCTTGCTGTTAGATGGCTCAATGAAAGTATCTGGGGAGCCAAATGAAAAGGGGTCTCCTTCAATTAGTGATCTTTTAATTTAGTTTTTAAGAAGCAAAATGCTGTGATAAAACCTGAACTAACAATCAGTAACCTATAAATTGTTTAGCGTAAAATCTCTCAAAGTGGGTTTTCAAAAAAATAACATTGAATAAACGTGTGAATAGATCTAAGAAAGTCAACATCACTTCAGAGAATTAAGACTCCCTGCAAAAAGGGTTTTGGATACAAATACCAGTATGCATTTAACTCAACAATACACTGAAATATCTAATCAGAAAACAACAAAATATTTATGTACATGATCCTGAAATACCTAATTTCTGCCAAATGATATAGAGGGCAAAATAAAAGTACAAAAGTTATAAACCTATTGGAGAAAATGAAATAGAATTTTCTTACCCAACGATGACTTTACAATTGATTTAATTCCTGCATAAACCAACGATCCCTTGTTGCCTGGAGATTTCTGATCCATATCTTCTGTGTATTGCTTCATAAGTATTTAAATGCATAGGAAATACTAGTGATGCATAACAAAATATTTCAAAGCTAAATTTACTTTGATTTGGAGCCAATTCATAAGTATCAGTGTAAATAAGATGGTTCGACTCTATTGCAGAGATACACCGTTCTTCCTCCTACACAATCTACAAAGCAGTATTTTGAGTTCAAAAGTTTAGAACAATTTTACTTTATAATGTTAACATTATGTAACTTGAACTTGTATATAAAACATTCAGCATATTTATAGACTGACTTTTCAGCAAACTTCAAGAACATTTCTACTTGATTCATCTCACAAAATTCACAATGCAAAGGATATAGTGCAGAGTATACCAGAGTGACTTGAGCTGTGGATCTTCATTTCCAGCTAAAATGTGGTTCCTCCACACCTGCTCTGTATCAAGTCCATATCTCGATAAAGCCCGAAGGCGCATCTTCGTTGCTATATCTTTTTCTAAAGAATTATCATTTTCTTCTTCCGTACATTCATATAAATGACGACCACAAGCCCACATTAAAGATGTAATAGGGCTCCAGGCAAGAGATATCCTTTCAAAAACAGTGAAGTCAGACATTGTTCGGTTGGGAGTTACAACTATCATTCGATTTTGACTTGTTGGATGCCATGCAAAGGAAGCAATGTAATTGTCACAAGGCTGCACACTTCTTTCAATTATTGTGGGTTCAGTTTCATCCCCAATGGGAGTGGGTGTATGCTGCATATCATATAATCTAATAATATTACTATCCCTTGTTAAAGTGGCAAGTAGACCAGTCCTAGTGGGACACCATGCTACTTTTGTTAAGGGTTTTGGTTGCTCAGTCAGTGTCAAAACTGGCTTCTCAAATTTTCTAAGATCCCATATTGCAACCTGACCTTCATAGAAGGAAGCAACACGATCGTGGAAATATGGGTCTACCGTCACACCCTGAACAGCTTTTGTATTTACAAACATCTTTTGGCTTGTATTCCGAAGATCAAATATAGCTAGGTTACGATGCATACCAGCAAGGAGAAGTTTCTGGTCTCGTGGAAGCCAACAAAGAGAGAGACAAGCATCATTCTGTCCTAACTCATAAAGTGGTTTTGTTACTAATAATGTTGTTTCAGTTTCACCTGCTGAAAGTTTCACTTTTTCCATGGGAACTATATCAGGAGTATATTTGCTGCAGATATCCCATATTAGCACTGAAAAGTCAGCTCTGTGCTTGTCTAAACCAGCAGCTAGCCAGTTACTATCCAGTGGATTCCAGGCAAGGGTATTACATTGTCGTGCATGTTTTGGAACAAACTCTTTTCCTATCAAATCTTTGAACTTTGAGTTATGATCTTGACCAAGACTTGTAAGCACAACTCGACCATTTGCTTGTCCAACTGCCAGCAGACATTCAGGATCATAATTGAGATACCAGGCAACACATTTCATATAGGGTGTATCTGAATTTATTGACAGTAATGTAGCTGCAGAGTCTTCAGATAAACGTAAAGATCCAGCTTTGAGTTCTGAATTCACAGTAGATTCCACATGATAAAGACTTAGTTCTGAGTCACACACAACAAATCTATCAACCTGGTGTGGTGCCCACAAAATATCAGGTTTGGTACCGCTCATGTTTACTGATGTGCTCAAAGGGTCCACTCAGGTCCATTCACTGAAAATGTTTAAAAACAAAAAGTTTTAAAATATCAACAAAATATAATTCTCACGTTGAATAAACTATTCAGAAAGTCAGACAATTCTCTATTCAAGAACCCTCTTTTTCAATATATTTGTATTTCTATCTGCTAGGAATTCAAGAAAATATTTATTGGAAAAAAAGGAGAAATAACAACCACTTCCAATAAAATGAGCTGGTAGGAATCTGAGAATCCCATCCTGGCTATATTTCCCAAGACCAATTATCTTAATTGCACTGTTACTAGTACCTTCAGCTTAACTTCAGGGTTATAACGACTTCAGTGTGGTAAGCAAATTAATAAGTATTATCCCTTTGAAGGGGGGAAAACTTAAAAGCATTATGAATCACATTCCCAAGCAATAGTTTAAAGCAGTACTGCCCAATAAAATCTTCTGCAATGACAGAAATGTTCCATGTTCATGCTGTCCAATATGGTAGCCACTAGCCACATGTAGCTACTGGACACTAGAAATGTGACTAGTTCAAATTTTAAACCTTAATTTTAACAAATTTTAATATAAATAACCATATGTGGCCATCATAACAAACAATGGAGATTTAAAGTACAATGCCATACTAAGACAGAGGTTTCTTCAACTTTCAGTAATAAGCATCAGCCTTGTATGGCAGAATAAACACTGGAATGTACTGAACAAACCTGAGTTCCAGTCGTGGCTCTGCCATATATTAGTTATATGCCTCAGAAAAGTCATTGTGTGTGGGGAACCCCTTTGTTTTCTCATCTACACAATGCAGGAGTTGGTTTAGATTAGTATTTCCCAAACTCCAGTCATGTAACACCTGTGCCATTAATATTTTTCTTTAAACTGACTCATTTTTAAAATCTGAAAATTGACTTTAATCTCTTCATAAGGTCCATGAATCATGGTATGCTATGTTAAATATGTTTTTTAACCTACACTGAAATATATAACTATTAAAAATGCTTGATTGTGTTTTATCTACAAAGCATCCTGTTTATGACCAGTGGTACGCACATACCACACTCTTGAGAAAGTGAATTAAGTGATCATTAGAGGCTCTTTCAGTTTTCGGTTCTACAAACTTTGAATAAGTGTTAAAGTAGAATTTTTGCAAAAAAATAAATATTCTAGCAGTAGAAGCATACAAACTAAATATAGCTACAGTTTAAAATGGTGTTTCAATAATTAAGGTTGTCTACAAAAATTTAAATGCCTGTTTCTGAGGTTGGCAAAAGGTAATAGTTTAGATTCAAAATGAATAAACATACTTAAAATCTTCATTGCAATTGGTATCTGTACAACTATGTTGTCAGTTCACATAGGGTAAAGCTATGGTTCACTTACCTCTCTATCCTTAGTGCCATATATACAGCCTGGCAGAGACTCCTAATAAAGATATACTAAATAGTTCAACTCAAACATAATTTTCAGTTTCAGTTAGGAATTACCAGTCTTGCAAAAGTTTCAGTTAGGAATTACCAGTCTAAAATAGACTCATATTATTTAGACCACGAGTCCCCAACTCCCAGGGCCGCAGACCAGTTCTGGTTCCTGGCCTGTTAGGAACCAGGCCATATAGCAGGAGGTGAGCAGCAGGAAAGGGAGCAAAGCTTCATCTGTTACTTAGAGCCACTCATCTCACACACTGCCACCTGAGCTCCGCCTCCTGTCAGATCAATAGCAGTATTAATTTCTCACAGCAGTGCAAACCCTACTGTGAACTGCACATGACAGGGATCTAGGTTGTGCATTCCTTGTGAGAATCTAATGTCTGATGATCTGTCACTGTCTCCTATCACACCCATATGGGACCATCTAGTTTCAGGAAAACAAGCTCAGGGCTCCCACTGATTCTACATTATGGTGAGTTGTATAATTATTTCATTATATAGTGCAATGTAAATAGAAATAAAGTGCACAATAAATGTAATGCGCTTGAATCATCCTGAAACCACCCCTATCCCTCGTCTGTGAGAAAACTGTCTTCCATGAAACCGGTCCCTGGTGCCAAAAAGGTTGGGGACTGCTGATTTAGGAATTCTTATACTGATTTTATTTCCTTCTTTAGCATTTCTCAAGCCCAAGATCAATCATTTCAATTATATTCTTACTAGCACCCTCAATGTCTTCATTTCCTTGTCACTTTGGGTTTGCCTTTTGCCAGTCATTTACCCAATTATTTATCATCTTGTCTCCTCATTCAGGCTTCCAAGTGCTACCACACTGAGGATAGTCTCAAGCCTCTGAAAACTGATTTCAGTAAATTAAGATATACAACATATCTAGTGTGCGGTGCTGGCAGTTTTTCTTTTATTCATCTTTCCCCTGGGCCCTTCGGAAATATTGCTTTATAGAATATCAGAGTAAAAATTTTTCTACAACACAACTTTGACCAGGCTATCCTTCCTTGCTTAAAACCCTCTAATGGTCTCCAGCTGCTCTTAGTATAGCATTCCAAATCTTCAACCTAACCTACAAAACCCTAAATGCTTTTGGTCTCTGCCTACTGCATCGGCCTTGTGGCACAACATTCTTGCTGTCCTTTTACACTGTCCTTTTCAATTCCTAGAGTATACCCTCCTCCCCCATCACCATACCTTTGCAAATGATGTTTCCTCTGGTTAAAGCATAGTTCTCTGCCTTCTGGGTCAAGTTAATACCTACTCAACCTTGACATCAACCACCCTCCATCCCCTCCCTAGTCGAGGTCAGGTTACTCAGACATACACTGTCATTAAACAGTATTCTTTCCCTTTAATCATCCATTTCTGTCTCTTCTACTGGATTATACACTCCATGAGAGCAGGTGAAGTATTTTTTTGTGTTCCACTGTACCTCTAGTCCCCAGTACAGTGCTAGACACTCAGTAGGAAGTTTAATAAACATTTGTTAAATAAATGCATGTGCTGAATGATCCCTCTGACACTTCTCACAACTGGTATCTCCAAGTTTTACCTATTTCCTCATGCTTCCACTTCTACCCTTCATAGGAGAGGCTGGCTCCAGCCAATATTTAAGTGTCTGCTATCATACTTCCATTTATTCTGTAACGATTGGGCACCTTCTATGTTCTAGGCGCTGTCATAAAGCTGGGAACACAGCAGCAAACACGAGCAGATGAAGTCTCTGGTCTAAAAAAAAACCTGCACTGTAGTGATAAAATTAAGCCCAACCTTAAAGAGAGTTAAAAAATTTAAGAATGAGGAGGAAAAGGGGCACCTCATGTGATAGGCAGCAGCTATGACAACAAAGAAAAGGAACAGATACTGCCAAGTAAGGTTTCACACTCATACCACCACAAACAAAGGAAACCTCTTAATTGACATCATGAGATCTGCCCCATTTTCCCATCTCATTGAAAAATCAATGTTTAAATAAACACACTCTTTAGGCCTTCATTCCACAACCCTACTCTTTATACCAATGGTCTATGGTAAGCAATTTTGATGCCACATAGAAAAATCCATCTTACAAAACACAAAATATGAGTTGTAGCGTAAATTTTAGAACTTTGATTCACATGACTCTCAAAGGAGAATATCAGCATTTCTTCCATTGTCATGCACCTAAAATATTTATACTGCCATCCACTAAATCTGATGACAGTAATTCATACAGAATCAAAACTTGAGAGAAAAAGACTAGCTAATTCTTCTCACTTTACATAACAGTAAAGTGAAGACCAGATGTTTGGGTGCTTGTCCAGGGTCTCTCAACTTCCATCCTAGATTAGTGCAAAGAGAAAGGATCAGCTACACAATATGCAAGGCGTGGTGCAAAATACAAATGCAGGGCCCCTTATTTAAAAATTATTTAAAATGTCAAGACAGTGATAGTAGACTAGCCATTAAAATAAGTGCTAGCCATTATAAATGCTGGACTATGCGCTACTGCACAGGTTGCACATTATAAGAGTAACCCTGTATAGAGAGGTGCATCTATGTCCACCCTTTTAAGAAGTGTACTTTTTTCACCATCTAATACACAGGATAAACAGTTCCTTGCTCATGAACATACATCACCAAGAATCTGGTGTAAAGAAAACAATACAGAGTCAGAAATCCTACAGCCACTCCCCAGTTCAAATCCTAACAAATCTTGTAATACTCCAAAACCATAAACCGAGATAAAATCTATCCCATTTCCATCTCACAAAGTTGTGACATCAACTGAAATGAGCTCTTCACATCACATAGATGTTAGTATCACTACCATTCCCGTAATCAGCCCTGAAAGTTAATGTTTTTTCCAAAGGTTGGAGACATTAAAAAATTAGGTGCAGAAGGGGTGCGGTTTGCAATAAGTATATCTTGTATTTATATCCTCACCTTTCAAGTTTAACAAGTCTCACTTCCCATCAGTGACTTATCAGCAAAGGAAAGCCATGCTCATTCTGTGTTTATTCATCAGAATATCTGTAACAGCACTGTCCAAAAGAAATACAGTGTGAGCCATATGATTTAAAAATTTCCAGTAGTCACATCTAAAAAGTAAAAATAGGTGGAATTAAATTTAAAAACACATTTTATTTAACCAACATATCAACGGCATTATCCTTTCAATATGTAATCAATGCAAAAATTATTAGTGAGGATTTTGACTTTTTTTTGGCACCAACTCTGGGAAATCCGATGTGTATTTTACACTTACAGCATATCTCAATACCATGTGGCTACTGGACAGTGAGGTCCAACACATTACACTACTACTAAGTGTACAAAGTATCCAATCACATGCTTTTTGATGTTGTCTTTTACTTTTCTTACCATGGCAAATTACGAGAGCGGTTTCAAGAAATTTCCACCATCAGCATCTTCGAGGAGATGCACTGCACATATCCAAATTTCCCTTAAAATATACAAAAGGCCTGCAAAAGCAGTCATTTGCTAACCAATTCAGCAAAGTCCACATGTGTGAGGTTTCATTCATCCTCTTAAGGAATTTTCACTACTCGTATGTGAAGAGAACAGAGCTCACCGGGAGATAGGCCGTTTAAGAAGTACAGTATTTAAGAGGGCACAATGGCAACAGGGCACGTTGCTATTCCAGGTAAAGCAGGAATCTGAATCCGACTCTCCCGCTCCAAGCACCTGGCTGAGCCTCCCGGGAAAGGCGGGGACGCCGCTCCCCACAAGCCTGCCGCGGTGAAGGCTGTAGCGTGGCCTCTGCGCCCCGAGGAGGTCCCCGCAGGTCCCGCGGAGGTCCCCGCAGGTCCCGCGGCCGCCCGCAGCCCCCGGTGGCTCCCGCGGAGGCCCGACCGGCTGGCCGCCCGGCGCGATTACCCCACAGCGCGGAACGCGCTCCCCGCCGAGACGCCCGAGCCTTTCAACTAGGCTATCTCCGGCCCCTAGCTGCGGCCGCTGCGCTCCCGAGACCCGAGACGCGGGCCGGGTCGAACTCACTGACCTGAGGTGGCAGCGCGGCCGCCGCACAGCCGCTTCCGGCCGGGACACCGCCCCTCCCGCCGCAGGCGCCCGGACGCGGGCAAGATGGCGGCCGCGGCGGCGCGGCCCGTGACCTGGACCACTGGGCTGGGGCCCACGACCCTACTACCACGCCTCGGGGACGCGCAGCCGCGCCTTGGAAGGGGAGTTTCCCGCCGCGAGCCCCGCCCTTCCCCGCCCGGGAGGCGCCTCGGGGCGGGGTCACTGGTCGGGAGGCCCCGCCTTCCGCCCGAAAGCGCCTGTGCACCCCGCTGGCCCCGCCCGTGGGTCCACAGGCCGGATCGCCGGGTTCCTAGGCTGGGACTGCTTCTCAGAACCACTCTGCCGTTTTCAAGCAGGGTCGCACACTCTAGCTCACTGGGTCCATCTTAATTTCTATTAAACTTTTTTTTTTTTTTTGCAAATGAGGTAGTAGGAGATCCAAGGTATTTGGTTAATGATTCATTCACTCAGTCATTCCACAAACTTGTCTTGATCACCTGTTATGTTCCCAGCACTGTGCTGGAAAACCTAGGAGACAGGAGTGAAGTAAAAAGACATGGTCCGGGCAGGAAACAGGCAAGGAGAGCCTTGACTTGGTAGGGCTAACACAGTGCTACACAGGAGGGACGCCCGCTCAGCTTCGGGGTCAGCAAAGCTTCCTTAAGGACTACTAGGCTGAGACAAGAAGGATGAGTATGGGATTAGCCAGGTAAGGGAACAGGGCAGTGGGAACTGGAAGAGAAGAGTCTTCTAGCACTGAGAAAGAGCAAGTGCTGGGTCAGGAGAGAGAACATAGCAGTGAGGAGGCAGTAGGTATGGATGAATGAGCAGAGGAAGTGGGGAGAGATTAAGATGCTGTCAGAAAGGGGTTGGAAACCAGTTTAGTGAGTTTGGATGGACTTTTTCCTAAAGGCAATGGTAGAGTCATCGAACGTTTTTAATCAGGCAAGTGGTATGATCAGTTGTTTTTTTGTTTTTGTTTTTTTTTTTGATTTTGTTTTGTTTTGTTTTGTTTTGTTGAGACGGAGTCTCGCTATATCGCCAGGCTGGAGTGCAATGGTGCGATCTCTGCTCACTGCAACCTCCGCCTCTCGGGTTCAAGGGATTCTTCTGCCTCAGCCCCTGGAGTAGCTGGGACTACAGGCACGGCGCCACCATGCCCAGGTAATTTTTTGTATTTGTAGGAGAGATGGGGTTTCACCATGTTGGCCAGGGTTGTCTCATCTGTTGACCTCGTGATCCGCCCACCTCGGCTTCCCAAAGTGCTGGGATTACAGGCGTGAGCCCCCGCGCCCGGCCAGTATGATCAGTTTTTGCGCAGAGAGCTGGAGGGATAGAGTATCAGAATGAGGGATGACAGAAACGCAGGTTACCAGTGGCATGGAGAGTGGGCATGGAGAGAAGTGGGCGCCCTGGGGAATATTTAGAGGTGGGATGAACAGAGGTTGGTGATTGACCAAGTGAATGACGGTGAAAGAGGATTCCAGGTTTTTTGTTCCCAAAACTGAGTGAATGGTGCTGCCTCAGGTGTCACGAGTCTGACCTTGAGGCAGTCTTCAGATGTCTGACAGTCTTCACTTGTATGTTCATGCTTAAAAGTGGGTGGTCTTGGGCTTGTGGTGGTGATGGCTATAAACAGCATTATGAGCTTAGTCTTGATAATCTTCGTGGCAGATGGTTTTGATAAGATGATGAGTTTGGGGAAAGTATTGCCTTTCCAATCCTGCCATTAGAAGAGTGTAGGCTGAAGAAAGTGCTGTATTATTGAGAGGAGACACAGCAGTATTCATCACTTTAAACACTATCTTGTCAATCTTCTCAATGGTTTTGGCCTTGGCCTCAAACCCCCCCACAAAACCTCAGATCAATACAAATCTCTTCCTTTTCTACTCTTACTATTCATAGTTGAGGACAACTTTTCTGCTTGCACTCAGGAGATGACACTGCCTTCTACTTCAGAAAAGAAAATTAAAACTATTAGGTAGAATTTCCACAATTTCCCACTACTTCCTCCTGCCCTCCTCCAACATCTTGATTCACTACCATTCTTATCTTCTTTTCGGTGACTAGGAGTAAAAGGAGGAACCCCACATATTTCTCCTCTTCTGAGACCTTGCACCATCAATTACTCCACTTCCATGTATCTTAGCCTTTCCATTTCTACTGGTTCTTTACCTTCAACACATACTCAAGTCATTCCCATTTTCTCTTCAAAGGAGAGGACCATATTTGCTCTCTGTGATTCCACTTCCTCCTCTCTCCCTTGAATTCACTCCATTCAGTCCTTCATGCCCACCATGCCACAAAACTGCCACTTGTCAAGGTCACCTGTGAGCTCCATGCTGCCAGTTTCAATGGCCAAAGCTTCACCCTTGCAACTTTTGTTGTTCTTGACTACTTCCTCTCTCTTGACATGTCTCATTTGCTTGGTTCCATATCATCACTTTCTTCTGGTTTGTCTTTTATCCCTGTGACTTCACTGTTCCTTAAACATGACAAGCATGCTCTTGCCTCAGGGCTTCTTCACTAGCTATTCCTTCTGTCTGGAATGCAGAAATCTACATGACTCATACTCTCCCTTCACTCAAGAGTCTGCTCACTTGTCACTGACTACCTATAAATTAGTTCCTTTGTTCTTGTCTTCATGACACCGCAACTTCACATACATGCCATCTCTTTACTTTTCTATAGTTGTCTTCTTCTAGACTGTGTCTTCTTATCCCCAGTTTTCATTCTGTATTTTTTTTTCTTTTTAGTAAGAGGAAATATCTCTACATTCAAATCTGAGCAGGGCATTTGGTGACCCACTTAGACATGAAATTCCTTGGCCTCCGTTTCAGCAAGATAAGGCTATATCAAAAAGTTATGTCCTGTAAGATGTGAGTAGGACTGGATCCTGTCCCTTAAAAAGAAAGTTGCTTGCTATACCCTTTCTCTTCCCTCTTCCTGCTCTCTGGCAAGTGGCAAAAAGAAATGGAAGAAAAGACTTGAAATGGAAGCCAGGTATTAAGGAAGGCAAACTGTTCTCACTAGCCTAAGTCCCAAAAGAATCTCAGGAAGCTGGGGCACCTCCTCCCTTGGATCACAGACTTCTGGACCATTATGCAAGAGAAAATAAACTTTGTTCTTTTAAAAATCATTGTTTGTTTGGAACTGGTAGAGCAGCTTAGCCAATTCCATAACTAAAATAGAGTGGCTCTGTCTACTTTATTCTCTGCTTAATCACCAGGATGTAAAACAGCGCCTAAATTAGCCGGGTGCGGTGGCTCACGCTTGTAATCCCAGCACTTTGGGAGGCCAGGGTGGGCAGATCACAAGGTCAGGAGATCGAGACCACGGTGAAACCCCGTGTCTACTAAAAATACAAAAAATTAGCCGGGCGCGGTGGCAGGCGCCTGTAGTCTCAGCTACTCAGGAGGCTGAGGCAGGAGAATGGCGTGAACCCATGAACCCGGGAGGCGAAGCTTGCAGTGAGCCCAGATCGCGCCGCACTCCAGCCTGGAGAACAGAGCGAGACTCCGTCTCCAAAAAAAAAACAAAAAACAAACAAACAAAAAAAAACGGTGCCTAAAAAATGTGGTCAATAAAAATATGTTGAATAAATCCTAAAACAACATCTTTATTCTACATCCTCCTGCAGCTAATGTCCTTTTTTCAACTTTCTTTTCCACTCAAGCTTTGTGAAAGTATATCTTTTTTCATACTGCCACTAGTTCTTCTAAAGCCCCGAACAGGAATAAGTGACACTTTTCTCAGTCTTTTTGGAAACTGATTCCCCTTCTCTACTAAACCAAGATCCTTGCAGGTAGCAATCTTTTAGCATAGAACTTTGGATTTCCTTTAGCACTTGTTGCATAGGTATCCAAAAAATATTTACTGAGTTGAGTGAGTGCTTTGTTTCTTTGGAAACAGTAAACCATAGCAGAGAACTTGACAGACTGGTCTGAGATTATACTAGTTGCCTTTACTAAACGTGGGTTTTACAATAGATCCTAGAGCTGCTATAGTTCAGTCTCAGTATTTTGTTTTTAATTTAAGCTTCTGTATTTCTAATAGGATTTTTTTTGTTTGCTTTTTTGAGATCAAGCCTCGCTCTGTCGCCCAGGCTGGAGTGCTGTGGTATAGTCTCTACTTGCTGCAAACTCCGCCTCCCAGGTTCAAGTGATTCTCCTGCCTCAGCCTCCCGAGTAGCTGGGATTACAGACATGCACCACCACACCGGGCTAATTTTTGTATTTTCAGTAGAGATGGGGTTTCACCATGTTGGCCAGACTGGTCTCGAACTCCTGACCTCAAGTGATCTGCCTGCCTTAGCCTCCCAAAGTGCTGGGATTACAGGCGTGAACCACTGCGCCTGACCAGAATGTTCTTTTTAAGCTTCTTCATTTATGTTGTGGTGATCCCGGACAGGATTTTTGTTGTGGTTTTAAAACAAAAAGGATTGCAGTTGAAGGGCAGCGAATTTCTTTTTTATTTACAGCTGCTCCTGGCAGCAATTCAGTTACTACAGTACTGGGACATTTTGTGAAATCTGTGACTGGCTAATCCAATTCTTTTTATTTCCACATGCACAAAATCAGTCTGTACCTGAGAGCAAGTTTTGCTTTTAGATGGAGGCTGAGGAGGTATCAAGCTGAAACGAAGGCCCTGTAAACATGTGCCATGGCTTAGGTAATCTTTTCACAAAGGTTGAAGATCAGAAGATCTGAGATATCTTAAAATAATGGCCTTCAAAAACTTTTCTAGCATATCCCCAAATAAATTTTTTAAATCAGTGCATTTCTTCATACATTTTGGGATTACATCTAACATTGTCAAAATAAATTTACATAATTGTCAAGTATATGATTTCTAATATTTTTTAAATCTTTAAATTATAAGCAAAACAGGGCTGGGCATGGTGGCTCACACTTGTAATCCCAGCACTTTGATAGGCTGAGGTAGGTGGATCACCTGAGGTCAGGAGTTCAGGACTAGTCTGGCCAACATGGTGAAACCCTGTCTCTATTTAAAAATACGAAAATTAGCAAGGCATGGTGGTGCGCACTTGTAGTCCCAGCTACTCAGGAGGTTGAGGCAGGAAAATCGCTTGAACCCGGGAGGCAGAGGTTGCAGTGAGACAAGACTGTGCCACTGCACTCCAGCCTGGGCACCAGAGTGAGACTCTGTCTCAAAAAAAAAAAAAAGGGGGGGGCGCGGTGGCTCAAGCCTGTAATCCCAGCACTTTGGGAGGCCGAGACGGGCGGATCACGAGGTCAGCAGATCGAGACCATCCTGGCTAACCCAGTGAAACCCCGTCTCTACTAAAAAATACAAAAAACTAGCCGGGCGAGGTGGCGGGCGCCTGTAGTCCCAGCTACTCGGGAGGCTGAGGCAGGAGAATGG